TCTCGATCCCTCCGTCCGCTCCCTGCTTCTGTGTCTCTGGATCTATTTTGTTTATCAGTTTATTTTGTTCATTAGATTCCACCTGTGAGCGAGATCACATGACACTTGTCTTTCTCTGACTGGCGGATCCATTATTTCTACAAGGTCCCGTGTTTTCCTCACAGATCCTGAAATTCTGAATTTTGCTCAGATTCTTCCATAAAATGATGGCTCTTTCAACCAGGTCCCTGTTTGGAAAAAGCAGTTTCCAAAAAAGCGCAGGGGAAGGAAGCCGTTTCCCTCTTCTTCTAGTCACCGAGGCGTGTTTGATTTGCAACGCTCGCAGGTGGCGGCGGAGACCAGGGCGGTCATAGCCTGGATGGAGAAAATCCCCTTCGTGCTGGGCGGCAACCTGCAGGGCGGCGAGCTGGTGGTGGCGTACCCCTACGACATGGCGAGGTCCCCGTGGAAGACGCAGGAGCGCACCCCCACCCCCGACGACCACGTGTTCCGCTGGCTGGCCTACGCCTACGCCTCCACGCACCGCCTCCTGACCGACGCCCGCAGGCGGGTGTGCCACACCGAGGACTTCCAGGAGGAGGGGACCGTCAACGGGGCCTCCTGGCACACCGTGGCCGGGAGTAAGTCTGACCCTGCGCCGTCACCACGGGCCCACGATGATGGACAGCGGGGGGGTCCCCCAGGCCACCCCCTCCCAACCCGCCTGCTACTCTCAGAGTAATAGCTGCCTGTCGTCAACCATGTAAAGGTCCCAGTGCGCTGGAGAAACTCTCCTGTGACCCTCACCGGTCTCTGAGGGGGCCTGGCCTACTCCCTTTTATAAACGAGGTAACTAGGGCTTGGACACCCAAAGGGATGGGCCCCAGTGAGAAAGGGGCAGAGCTGGGCTCTGTTTGCCTCTTAGCCACTGAGCATTTCAGATTTTATAGGGTCAGAGATGGGTGAGTGTGGACTTGGGGACATATCGGACCCAAAAGCACACCCAGCAAAGGGGTGGAGAGCTGCCGGTGCTGTTCCCACGGTGTGGGGGTCCCGTGCTGCAGGCCGCAGAGGGGGCTGTGGGAGGGGCAGGCGTGGACCCCACGCTCAGGTGAGAAGTGGCCCCGAGCTGAAGGTGCGTCCTGAGGCCGGCAGGTGGTGAGGCGTGTTTCACAAGTCTCCTGTCCACTGGAGGCCAGCAGGCGGGCCTCCCGGCCATCCCACGGCCCCCGGGGGCGCCCGCTGCGTGTGACGAGGGAGAACGTGGTGTTGCTCCAGCGTCCACGCAGGGCCAGAGCCTTCCTGCCGCGACTTCAGGAATCCAGGGGACCCCGTGGTCCAGGTTTCAGGGTGAGCCCTTTGCTTCCTACGTCAGGGCTGCTCCTGGCCCAGCTCCCAGACGAGGAGGGAGGGAGATCTCACAGTCTCCGGGTCCCTCTGTGTTCGGATGGCGGGACCCCACGCATACTGCTCATTGCTCATGGTCTTGAGCTTGGTCAAGCCACTGATGAATTTGAAAAACATTCCATGTCAGGTAGGCCTGGATTCAAATTCCAGTCCATCAGTTGGATGCTGTGTGACCCTGGGCTAGTTACTCTACCTCTCTGAACCCCTATATCTTCCATTTATGACATGGGCATGCTGGTAGCCCAGATGATGGTGGCCATGGGGGTGGTGATCCCGCTGGGACTGCTGCGAGGGTTACCTTGGTGACAAGTGTGCATTTGTTCTATGTCTGGCTTATTAGAAACACCCAGTGGTGGTAATTCCCTCTCCCCCGTGAAACCTATGAGACCTCCTTCATGAACATGTACGTATTCCCTGTACTAATTGAAGTTAATATTATTTTACTTTGCGGGAAACTCAGCCTTCCCCTACTTTTCAGATGTTTTCACCCTTGGGAGAAGAAAAATTTAAAAGTGGCAGAAATATTTGCTTCTGTGGCCACCTGGGAACACGAGAGCCTGTGGCTACCTGCCCGGCCGAGGCATTTGGTTGATCTCGGTCGGAGTCTGCTCTGTACAAAGTAAAAAGTAGATGCAAATCCCCCTCCGTCAGGGACATTTCCCAGAGGCCAGAAAGCATCCTCGCTTCTCAGCTCCAGCCCCGAACCTGCAGTGACCGCCGCGTGAAACGTTGGTTCTCTGGCTGCTGTGACTGCCACGGGCTCGGGCACGGCCGCGTTCCTCAGCGCAGGGGCGGCGGCGACACTCGGACTGCCGGCCGCCGCGCGGTCACCTCGGCCCGTCCGGTTTTTCTGTCAATTACCTTTTCCATTATTCCAGGGACTCCCGTGGCCGAGCCTGCGGCGGCTCGGGCCTCTAATCATCCTTCCCCCCGGTGGCGTGACGCAGCCGGTGGATTCTGTCTCTGTAGATAAATGAAATGAGATTTCTAATCCCCCCGCCTCCGCGCCCTGCTCGGGTCCCGCTCGCGCATCAGTGCGGCGCTGACAGGCGTCGGTTCACGGAGAGCGGGGCTCGGTGCGTCTCAAATGCGCAGCGTTTGTGGCGTGTGCGGTTCACCTCCAGGCGGTGCGAGACCTTCTGTCCCGTGTCCTCCCTGCAGCGAAGGCAGGTGTCCTGTCAGCACCGGGCACACCGAGCTCCCTGTTCCATGCTGAAGTCGGGACAGGAGCAGGGTCCCGGGAACGATGCAGCGTCCCGCGTCCCCAGCCGGGACCCATGGCTCGGGAGGACCTGCCTGGGTCACACCACAGTGTCCTGCCCGCGAGCACTGTCGCCGGGCCTAGCGGCTTGGGTTTGACTGAGAGCAGGATCATTATAGAGATAAACTTAATTAAACACGAAAAACCCGTATCGTTCGTTCATGATGCCCTTACCCTGAGAGTAGTGCTTGGCTGAGTTTAGTAAAATACAAGGATTTTATCTGAAAAGCCCTCATTTCGGTCCTTTCGTGGGAGACGCGCTCGCCGGTGCCCATCTTCCCGTGCCCGGTTCCGGCTGCCCCCCCACCC